CTTCACCTGCCTGACCCACCGGGACCACCGGGACCACCGGGACCCACCGGGACCACCGGGACCAACTCTCGCAGACCCGGAGGTTCCCTCGGGGTGGGGTCCGGCGGGGATGGAATAGACGGAGCCGTTGTGAGCACTTATGTTCGAGTCCTGCATGTTTGCAGGTGCCTGTGTTGGGGGTGGGAGCCAAGTCCTCGGCGGGTACCAGCACCCATTCTGTCCGCGGAGCGCCTGGGTGTCTTCACCCCACGGGCCGGCCGTACGGACGCGAGAGGCTCAGGGAGTCACGGCCCCCCAGGTGCTGGTCCCCCAGAGCACTGGCCGGCAGGCTGTCTCGGCAGCAGCCTGTGCAGGGCGGCCAGCAGGAGCTGGGTGTTGGGGAGGAGCGGGCAGTGCTCTCAGCCTTGCACGGTCAGTGCCGGGCGTAGCCTGCGGATGTCCGTGAAGGCGGCAAGTGAGAGGCCTAGCGGGTCTCGAATACCTGCGTTTGGTTTTTGAGGTCATTGGTCCTTTCCCTCAGCTGCCCGGACGCCGGAGGCTTAAGCCGTAACTGCTGCCGATGTGCAGAGGCAGGAGGGCACTCGGTTCCCCGGGAGGGATTAGGTTCCCCCTGGGACACTGCGGCGCTGGCTCTGGGGAGAGCTGGGTGCCAGCTGGCAAGGCCCCACAGGGAGAGCCCCGAGCCCCGAGCAAGACGGTGCGGATGGCCCGCGGCTTCCCAGGCGAGGACCCCAGCAGGCTCTCCCCGTTTCTGTTAGCACCAAGCACTTTAGTCATAAAACAGGGTTCAGTTTATCAAAACCTTTTCCAGTGTTGCCCTAGCAAAATCTGACCATTTCTAGAGACCTTTTGGGGTTTGTTTTTTTATCCTCACCAGGGACATTTCCCTCCATTGATTTTTTAAGAGAGAGTGGAAGGGAGGGAAGGGGGAGAAACATCTATGTGAGAGACAACATCGATTGGTGGCCTCCCCCTCCCGTCGGGACGGAGGTGTGTACCCTTGACCAGGAATCAAACCCGGGACCCTCAGTCTGCAGGCCGACGCTCTAACCACTGAGTCAAGGACTCGAGAGACCCTGTGGACACATCTGAGAGAGAGCTTAGCATTATTCCCGTAGTTGTGTCAGGGGTTCCGGAGGGGAGATTCAGAGACTTGTGCCTCTGAATTGCCTCAGTACATATGCAGTTAGCACACATTATGGGTGGCCTCTGTCCTCCAGGAACTAACTCCTGGAGTGAAGTTCCTGTCAGGAGAACAGGAATCAACAAATGTCAGGAGAAAAAAATCAAACACTGGGCCTCCACTTTAGAGAGGCCAGGAAGAGCGGGTCATCTAAGGGTCGCCAGGATCTAGAAGAGTGACAGGCAGGGAGGAGCCGGTGACCAGGTGAGGCAGGAGCTTGCTTGGAATATAGGCCACTGAGGCTCAGATGGACCAGGGTGAGGAGGAGCTGTCGAGGGCAGGGAGTGGTGTCCGGATCCTTAGGGCTTCACTGTCATTGTGGAGACTCTGGCTTTTGCTCTGAGAAGCCGCTGAAGAGTTCGAGCCCAGGAGACACCAGGTAACAGTTCAGCAAGGTCACTCTGGGTCCCGACGGGAGGGAAACAGGGTCGGGGCAGGAGGACAAGTTTGGAGGGGACTGCAGTAACCCAGGTGAGGGTGTCAGGGTTGGGGATGGCTCTTGGGAGAACTATGAAGGGTCCGATTTAATTTTCCTGACGGGTCGAATGTGGGGTGTTAGACCCTGGAACCCAGGACGGACCTTCCTGAAGCCCAAGTGGGAATGCAGACCCGGGGACCCGGTGTAAGCTTGATTCTTCGACTCCAGGAATCTCCCCGTTTGCTTCCCTTCATGGTGCATATCATGTGTTTGTCCTGCTCCCTCCTGGAGAAGTTCCTTGACAACAGGAACTGTGTGCAGGCACAGGCCCAGCCTGCATGTAGCAGTCTCTACACGAACAGTTGAGCATCCCCATTAAAAGGCAACGTGGATGTCCTAACACAGAAGGGTGGCTTTTCTTTCCAAAATACAAACTCTCCCACTAATGTCATGTATTCTTTTGTATGTACAACCACACAGAAACAACAGCCATTTCAAGCGAGTTGGTTTAATTCCAGGTGGTACAGAATATCTTGAAGAACACACTTCGACAGGACTGAGCTGGGTTTCCTCTGACCACACAGCTACTGTTGAAATGGCAGAATGAGAAGAACTGAAGAGATGAGCCAATGCATGATTATCATTATTATTAATTTTTTTTTTACAAAAGTTTATTCTTAAATGTACCACAGCCTCCAAGACAACACTTCATTTTAGCTATAGGTAGCAAGAGATGTGATGACAGGGAATCCTGATGTTAAAACAGGAATGGAACTAAGGATCACCATTGCCCCAGGCACAAGGAACAGTTCACTTTTTGCCAGATTTCTTAATTCCACCTGTGGCTGCAAAAGGAAAAAAGTGTCAGTCAGGCGGGAATACAGTCCTGGTAGAAGCCCAGGCCTGGTAGGAACCCTAGCAAGGCTCCGCTCTCACACTGGGCGTTCTCTTTGACACAAGCATGTACGGGCTTCACCAATGTTACCTATTCCAGGGGGAAGCAGGGCGAGGATGAGGCAGGGGCACAGGAGTGGCTGTGACTGGCCTGGGGCTACACGGTGTCGTGTGCTTCATCGCAGACTGGCTCACTGAGCCTCGTCTCCTACCAACCCACTTTACAGACACTGGAGTCTTAGTGTCAGGTGTTATTCAACGTTACAAACTGGTATGTGATGAAGCCAGGATTCCAACCGGGTAGTCTGACTTCCAAATCTACATTCTTAACTGTCACAAAATACCACACTACCTTCTACATTATGATCCTGGAGTCTGATTTACTCAGTATCTTATTTTTCCCTATTTACAAATGACTATATTTGTGGCAAACAGTAGGTAATTTAAGAAATAGTTGTAGAATTAAGTATGCCCAATATAGGAATGAAGATCCTATTGTGACAAACTAAACTTTTAAAAAGTTACATGATGTGCCCAGCCCTGTGGCTCAGTGGTTGAGCATCGATCTATGAACCAGGAGGTCATGGCTCCATTCCCATTCGGGGCA